TGTGATGCCATGGCACTCTACCCAGGGGGATAGCTTGAGGCTCCGTCTCAAAAAAAAAAAAAAAAAAATTATACTTTAATTTATTCAATAAATAGTTGAGGACCTACTATGTACCACACACTATATTAGGCATTGGCTATCCAGAGATAAAGAAATAACCCCATAGGTTTTATTTATAAAATACTTATTTTTAGGCTTGGCACCTGTACACAGTGGTTAGGGCCCTGGCCCCATATACCAGGGCCGGTGGATTCCAACCCAGCCCAGGCCTGCTGAGCAACAATGACAACTACAGTAACAACAACAACAAAAAAAAAGGCCAGGCGTTGGGGTGGGCCCTGCTCCCACAGACTACTTGCCTGCTCCCAAGTAGCAGGCATCCCAGCTACTTGGGAGGCTGAGGCAAGAAAATCACTTAAGCCCAAGAGTTTGAGGTTGCTGTGAGCTGTGACGCCATGGTACTCTACTAAGGGTGACAAAGTGAGACTCTGTCTCAAAAAAATAAATAATTTTTAGAATATCTTTGAAAATTTCTTTCTAAAAGTATCTTTTTAAAAAGTCTATTTTTAATCAGAATTATCATTTCCCAATTTGTGTAAATTCTAATTTTCTATGTTGAGTTCTTTGAGTAAATTAATATGCAACCAAGATCTTGCTTATGTTTTTTAACCTAGTAGTCTCACAGCTGTAATATTCATGGTTTACTGAACAAGGAAAATAGGCTTGGTGCCCATAGTTCAAGTGAGTAGGGCACCAGCCACAGGTGGCAGGTTCAAGCCCAGCCCAGGACTGCTAAACACCAATGACAACTGCAACCAAAAAATAGCCGGGCATTGTGGTGGGTGCCTATAGTCCCAGCTACTTGGGAGAGTGAGGCAAGAGAATCACTTAAGCCCAAGAGTTTGAGGTTGCTGTGAGCTTGACACCATAGTACTCTACAGAGGTTGACATAGTAAGACTTTGTCTCCAAAAAAATGAAAACAAGGTAAATAAATTATTCAGAAAAGTCTCCCCTTTGAACGACTTCTAAAAATACCCTCTTATGTGAAGGTACATAAAATAAGGTCATTCCTACACCAGATACTGCCCCTCTGGGTACCCCTTGGGTGCTCTCTCCCCTACTCCCAGTGAGATGCCTTTTATGACCAGTCCTTGAAGCCTAGTGTAGACTAAAGGCTTCCATAAAGTTTGGTGTAAGGATACTTGGCCAAGAGCGAAAAGAGGGAAAGAGGAAAGGTTTGAGGGAGGAAGGGAAATAATTTTTTTTTTTTTTTTTTTTAGACAGAGCCTCAAGCTATCCTCATGGGTAGAGTGCCATGGCATCACAGCTCACAGCCACCTCCAACTCCTGGGCTCAAACGAGTCTCCTGCCTCAGCCTCCCAAGTAGCTGGGACCACAAGCGCCCGCCCGGCCATTTTTTGGTTGCAGCCATCATTGTTGTTTGGCGGGCCCAGGCTGGGGATTTGAACTCTCCACCTTAGGTGTATGTGGCTGGTGCCTTAGCTGCTTGAGCCACAGGCACTGAGCCTGGAAGAAACATTTTGTAAAGAGAAGCTGAGGCATCCTCCTGCATGAATCATCTACCCAGGTAAAAAGCCTTCTGTATCTATACAGAAAGCAGATAACCTGCAACACAAGGAATAGAATTAAACTTTCTAGAGTTCTTCCCAGTGATCCAAACAAAATAGAACAACAGCTAAAAATCGAGACAATGCAGGAATGTTTAGGCACTCCCTTGCTTGCACAGAAACTCAAGAAAAAACCCAGAAGAAAATAAAAAGGGGAGCCCAACTTTTCATGTACATTTCATTTCCTTGGTTCTTTTCCCAACACTCCTCCAGGTTTTTTAAGTTCTTACCTTGGTCAGCTGATGCCTGCTGTGACCCAGCAATGATTTCTGGGCAGCTATATGAGGAAACCAAGTCTTTAACATCCCTTCTACCTGTAGCAAGGTTCCCAGATAACGTTCCCTGTGAGAAAGACATTTTTTTAAAAAACCATTAAGTATGAGAAAAGAAACAAAACAAAGAAACAAGAGATCTCCTTTTTTTTGAGACAAAGTTTTACTCTGTAGCCCTCAGTAGAGTGCTCCGGCATCACAACTTACAGCAACCTCCAACTCTTGGGCTTAAGCGATTCTCTTACCTCAGCCTCCCAAGTAGCTGGGACTATAGGCGCCTGGCACAATGCCCGGCTATTTTTTACAGTTGCCACGGTTGTTTTAGCTAGCTGGAGATAAGTTCAAATCTGCCACCCTTGGTATATGGGGCCGGCGCCCTACCCACTGAGCCACAGATGCCACCCGAGATCTCCTTTTTATTAACACTTGGGGGAAAAGAACTAGGGGAACTTACCCCATATATGGCTTCTGCAAAACACCTACAATACGCTGGATCCTGTCCATTGCCACACTTTGCTGGAAACTGCTCAATCCTGGGGTCAGGAAGAAAAGATAGATCAAGGATTGAGATTCAAGCATGTAGTCAGACAAAGGAAGGACAAGGGCGGGGAGGATTAAAATTGATTCACATAAGAATTTAAGTCATAGATGCAAAATAATAATCCAGGCCCCAAATGAAAACTTAAAAAAATACATATTCAATAGCAAGAAAGAGAAAGAAAAACAAACAAATCTAACCTAAACAAACGTAACTAATCAGAAAATTACCTCTTTCAAAACGACCCATCTTCAGTCTATTTAGTAGGTCTGTGAGAGGGGTTATATATCCTTGGAGTTCTTTACACTGTAGAAAAACAGGGAAAAGGGTATAAGATGACCAAGAATTACTCACACTAGCAGTGATTCTTCCACCATCTCCAAATCTGGGGGCCAATACTGTTGTCATAAGTACTTTATCAATCAGCTGAGTGCTAAGCCCACTCCATTCCTGTCCTCTTTGTCTTGCATTCTCTTACCTTTTGAGCAAACAGCAGATCTCCTTCTGTGGTACAACCTTGAATGTTCTGACTGGTTTCCAATTCACCATCTCTTGATCTTTTGACCCCAGATCCTGCCATAGAAGAAGCCAAGCCCCGCGGTTCCGGGTGAGATGCTGTATGTTGGTTACTGGAAAGCTTGGATCGATGCCTGCTGCGAATAGGACCTGGGCTGGGCCGTGAACCTCCCCTCTGCCCAAAAGTATTTGGCTTGGGCCCTTTGTCCTCCCTCTCACTTTTGGAGGGGAAGCCAAAATCACTGTTTGCTGGGGAGGTGGAAAAAGAGGAAGAGAGAGAGTAGGAGGAATAGGAAGAAACGCTAGATGGAGAATCCATAGGTCCAGAAGCAAGGGCTGGAAAGCGGCTCCCGGAGCACCCAAAGATCGGAACCTGCAACTGAAGAGCAAAGCGAGATAATTTGAAATTGGAGTCTAAAGAGTAGAAAATGGATACTGGGGGTATACTGTACAATAGAATACCTCTTCTCCCTCTCTCCCGTATTACCTGTCTCAGAGACAACAGAAAAAGTCATCTCCCCCACCCCCGCCCATTAAGAAACTGGGGCTGCCTTTCTGGCTTCCGCGGAGAGTTTTCGCCTGACACAGCCTCTGTTCTTTTCTTCTCTCCATTCAGAGTAAATACATGACTTGAACGATACCTTCTCTGCCCCGTAGTTCACTTGGGTTGCTCCCCAACCTGATACCGCAGCATGGTTTTCCACCTGAGACCACGCCACGGGCAAGCAATAAATCCGGACACCTAAACCCGCCTAATGACCGAAGCCCGGTAATCACCCCCAGAAACTGGCTTCCTACCCTTTTCCCAATGTTTTAAGACGAGAATCCCCGCGCCAGTTTCAGTTCGCTCCTGACACGTGATGGGATCTCTCCGAACACCAAGATCTGGGTTCAGTCCCCAAACCCTCCCTTGCTGTGTCCAGGCCTCCCTAGCAGCTCGTCTTGTCCTCCTTACCTGCGCCGGTTGGCTCAGCCTCGTCTTTGCCTCCAGCTCGGTCTCAGTCTCTCCCGGCTATCCACCTCCGCTCCTCTCTCGGCGGGTCCCGCCCCTTCCCCCCAGACACGTGCGGCTCGGCACGTGCCTCCCCCTGCGTACACAGCTTTCGCGCCCTCATTGGTTGCCTAGCCTGTAACACGTGACTCTCGTTCCCGAAATTCACAATCTATTTGCTACGGTACAAAGGGGCTCAGCCAATAGAGAGGTAGCCAGGTTATGATTGGCTGGAAAGGAACCATTCCGTGCTCCGCCCCTACATGCGGCTCGCGGAGAGGACCCGGTGAGGAGAAAAGGTGGAGGATGGAAAAAAAGTGGAAAAGGGGGGGGGGGAAGGGGCGGGCCTTAAGTAGAATGATGATGCACCAGAGACGCGCGGCGTAAGTGTTGAGATTGGTTGTGGTACTGGAGGTCCGCGCCCCTGGACATGGGACCTAGGACCCACCCCACCCCCCGCTTCCGCTTTTGGAGTCAACGCTTTCTCCCTCCTCTTCCATCCCTGCCCCCAGCGCCTGGGCTCAGGAGCGCAGCACATGGAAACCATCAGCGACTTGTGTCTGCAACGTGTATAAAAGAAGGGGTGTGTGACGCTGTGTATCCCCTCCCTTTCACGGCAGCCCAGCCCTCGTGACTCCTCCGTCTCTGTTTCTTTCTACTCTCTTCTGTCTCCTCCAAGTTGGGTGCCTCCTGCCCTGCTGGGTGAGGAGGGTGGGGAATGCGGCCGGTAGAGAACACTGCGTCCTCTCTCAGGCTCCCGCTGGGGCGGCTCCTTCGGCCCTTTCCTTACATAACCTACCACGCACGTTACCAGCTCAGATGCCAGCCCACCGCGGCTCTAGAGGTCAAAGGAACTCAGTTGTTCCTGACTTTTCTGTCCGAGCTCCTCGGGCCTTACGCCTGGAATTATATGATTCCAAGCATGGGAACAGAGTAGGACAGGTCCCTGATAGTGTTGTCCAGGTTCAATTTATTAGTTTTTCTCCCGGAGAAGATTCCAAACACTTTGGAGGGGGGAGGCAAGTCCAGAGTTTAGTGAGTCTCACAAATATATGGAACGTTACTAATTGTCGTTGTCTCTTGCATTATTGAAAGAATACAGTTGAGAGAAGGAGCGGTGCCCAGGCACCAAGAGCTGGTTGAAGATATGTCTATGACATCCGACAGACCGCAAGGGGGCAGCCCAATTCTGATTGGGGTCGGATGATAGAGAATTTAAAAACAAAGTTTAAGTTTGCTCCTGTCGTAATTACTAATCGCAGAGGCACCTTGTTGGATGGGGGTGGGGAGATACCTGTATGTATATTAAGCTGTTAAATATGTTTTAAACAGTATTGTATAAAATACAATCAAAATACGATATTTTATATTGTGTTTTACAATGTGGTTATTTTATAAAAAGAAAAAAGGTTCTAAATAAACCTCAACCCTGTTTCCCAAGCCCACTATCTCAACACCATATCTAATAAAATAATAGAATTAGAGGGAATTATGGACTTTGAATAAACCTATTTTCCAAGGGTGGTCTTCTTCATTCTTCCCAAAATTGCAGGTTTATTCATAGTCCATGGTCCATAATTCTCTTTAATTTTCTTTTTTTTTTTTTTTTGAGACAGAGCC